AGGAAGCCCCCGTTGTCTTGATTGTTGCACCAAAGCCCCCGTCTGTAACCCCCAAACCCTGAATCCCTACTTTGGAGTAGACCCTGGAAAACAGTATACACTTTTTCGGTATGAGCAGCTATAATGGGGAACCCAGAACAAAAAAAGTATTTAAGTATGGTACTCCAAAACCTAGGAGTTTTATCACCTAGACTAGACCTGAGCCGGTGTTTCTAAACACCTTCTTGTGGACCATGCATTTTTTATTTTTATGATGCCTTCTCCTTCAGACCACGGGTGTGTAAACACTGTGCTTCTAAACAAAACATGGGCTTATCCATGCTGTCTACGGTTTAGGGTCTAGGGTGCTACTCGTTCCGGCAGACAAGCAGTCGCTGTGGAACATATCTGGCCAAAACAACGCGCGGCAGCCTGCTGAATCCAAAACCCCAAGGCCCTAGACAAGGCCAACAGCCCGTACCCTCACCCTAAAAAGCCCCTAAACCCTGTGAGCCCCTGAACTCTGAACCCTAAACCCTAAACCCTAAACCCTAGACCCTAAACCCTAGACCCTAGACCCTAGACCCTAGACCCCAAACCCTAAACCCTAAACTAAACCCCCAACCCGCAACCCAAAACCCTGAACCCTGATCCCTGAACCCTAAACCCTAAACCCTAAACCCTAAACCCTAAACCCTAAACCCTAAACCCTAAACCCTAAACCCTACATGAACCTTGGCCTTGCAGCACGGAGCCCAAAGCATAGCGCTGCAGCCATGGCTGAGCCCTGCGGCTGAGGGGGGGGGGGGGGGTTTAGGTTAGGGTCTAGGGTCTAGGGTCTAGGGTCTAGGGTCTAGGGTTTAGGGTTTAGGGTTTAGGGTTTAGGGTTTAGGGTTTAGGGGTTAGGGTTTTAGGGTTTTAGGTTTTAGGGTTAGGGTGTAGGGTTGAGGGTTGAGGGTTTAGGGTTTAGGGTTTAGGGTTTAGGGTTTAGGGTTTAGGGTTTAGGGTTTAGGGTTTAGGGTTTAGGGTTTAGGGTTTAGGGACAGGTTTGGGGCATCTGGTGCTTAGATGCCCTTAAGCCCTAAACCCTGAACCCATGGTAAGCCCTCAACATTGAAGGCCGTGCACGTCCTGCGGACGACCTGCTGCTCCAGCCAATCCTCGGCAATGATGGCTCCAGGGGCGGGGGGTTTAGGGTTTAGGGTCTCGGGTTTTGGTTTAGGGTTTAGGGTTTCGGGTTTCGGGTTTCGGGTTTAGGGTTTAGGGTTTAGGTTTTAGGGTTCAAATGGCGGAGGAGGTTACCGAGGCGCGGCGCAAAACCATACGTATATCCACCCACTGTCCTGATAGCTCTATGAATGGACCACTACAACTTCCCTTAGATACGATTTAGGGTTTAGGGTTTTGGCCCTGCACCGTTTAGGGCCTGAGGGTTTAGAGCTTGAAGTTTGGGGTTTGGGGTCTACTGCTTTTGTGGTATGTATGAGGGGTCCTAAATCCCCCTCCAAAACTTTCAAACCAAAAAAACCAAACCTAAACCCTAAAACCCAAAAACCCTACAACCCTAAACCCTGAACCCCCAAACCCTAAACCCTAAACCCTAAACCCGAAACCCTAAACCCGAAACCCGAAACCCGAAACCCTAAACCCTAAACCCTAAACCCTAAACCCTAAAGTTTAGGGTTTGGGGATGGCCAGACATCGCCAGGGCTCCGGTAGTGACTTGGCGTCTTTCAGGGCGAGGGCGAGATCTGGGAGCCCAGCAGCCTGTTTAGGGTTTAGGGTTTAGGGTTTAGGGTTTAGGGTTTAGGGTTTAGGGTTTAGGGTTTAGGGTTTGCAGACTTGCAAGTCCCCCCAAACCCCCGGAAACACGAACAAACCTCGACCCACTCATCTCCCAACACCCTAAACTTTCAGACGCCACGCCTCCCCTAAACCCTGAAAAACACTTATGTTCCCCTTGTACTAGCAGCCCTTAATCGGGATTACAGTACCCCCTATTATCATCCTTAAGGACTGTTAGTATAAGATCCCGACCCTGAACCCTATTTCCACAATCCCTAAACCCTAAACCCTAAACCCTAAACCCTAAACCCTAAACCCTAAACCCTAAACCCTAAACCCTAAACCCTAAACCCTAAACCCTAAACCCTAAACCCTAAACCCAGGCCTGAATGCCCGCCACGAGTCCGGAGAGGAGGGCTCCACCGTGCCTTTGTAGGTCAGCATGCCCGCATCCCACACTTCGGCAACCCTGGAGGCCGGTAAGGGTTTAGGGTACTGTAGTTAGGGTTTTAGGGTTAGGGTTTCGGGTTTAGGGTTTAAGGTTTAAGGTTTAGGGCTTAGGGTTTAGGGTTTCGGGTTTAGAGCTTAGCGTTCAGGGTTTAGGGCTTGCCACCAGTAGATTTGGGGCAGGGCTCAAGGAATGTAGTGCTTAGGTGTAATCCGCTTATCGAAGCCGCGCAAGAGCGCTAGGTTTAGGGTTTACGGTTTAGGGTTTCTGCACCTGAAGTATGTACCCACATCGCAAGGCAAGAACGTGCGCCGAAGCCACTTCTCCCACGTGGATCCTCCCACCGTCAACAGCGGGTGTCGATGCGCTAGATAGCCTCCGCAAGTCTTGGCTTTCGGGTGATCAAGGCTTCGGACGTGTTTTGTACTTTTAGGGTGGTGCGACTGGCTGCGGTTGAGGGTTTAGGGTTTAGGGTTTAGGGTTTAGGGTTTAGTGTTTAGGGTTTAGGGTTTAGGGTTCGCTGCTCAGTACCTCGACGCGATGGCCATTTCGTGCTTTTGCAGCTTCCCAACGAGGCTACTGGCCGGGACTCTAAGTGACGAGTGTGCCCAGAACTATTTTTTGCTTAAGACCCCCAAAAGATGAAAGATAATAACCCCAAATTAACCCTTATAAGGAAGAACATTTTGTATTTTGTTCGGGGGTTCTTGAGGAAATGGTAGATAACCGTAACTAGAGTGCCCAGAAAAGGGGCCCCAACGCAGACAGCCCCTGAAAATTGATCCTCCTATTCGGGGTGCCTGAGAACTTCAGGCCAGCCAACACTCCCCCACCCCAATTCAAAGAACCGTTAGCCATTAAATGAAACGCTGGAGTGGAAGAACCGAAGAACCACAGACGTTTTTGGGCCTCAGTACCCGAGCCGAAGTATGGGGTTTAGGGTTTAGGGTTTAGGGTTTACGGTTTAGGGTTTAGGCTTTAGGGAGTCAGGGCCTTGCTTGGGCTCCGGGCTCAGGGTTCCCTCCCCTCCCCCCTCCCCCTCCCTAGGCATGGCCGGGGCCTACAATTTTCTGGAGCAGTGGCGACTGGCAGGATTGTCCTGAAGCAGGCATTTGGGGTTGACTATACTCCCCTTAGAACCTTAATAAACATAATATTAAAATAAAAACAATAATAATATGCTTAATGTCCTCTTGGGTTTTATATAGACAAAAAGAAAAAACTCCCAAGGGGGATATACTTGAGGGTTTTGAGGGTGTTTGGGGGCTTTAGGGCTTCGGGCCAGGGCTTCGGGCCAGCTCCAGGGTTCCAGAACCAAGTTGCACTGTAGCTACCAGACTCATAACCCTAAAGCCTAAACCCTAAACCCTAAACCCTAAACCCTAAACCCTAAACCCTAAACCCTAAACCCTAAACCCTAAACCCTAAACCCTAAACCCTAAACCCTAAACCCTAACCGACCTGACTTCGAGCCGAATACGTAATCGCTTGTGGGGTTTCTAGGGTTTTGGCGGGGGGGGGGGGGGTTTAGTGTTTGGGGCCTCGACCTACAAGGCAACTGTATAGCCTAGCTTTGCAATTACCTGTGGGTCTTGGGAATGTAGGGGTGTAGGGCATCTGTCTCATTGCGCTGCTGTGTGCGAGGCTACTGTCCAAACTACGCTGAAAAAAGAGCCCCCCTCCAAAACCCCGAATCAACCCTCCATCCCCCGCATCCTAGCAGACTCCTGTCATCTTTTTCCCGGCCCAGCCTCGAAACCCTAAACCCTGAATCCCGAATATTGGAGAACAACAGCTGGAACCTACGATCCCTAAACCCTAAACATCCCTACCCCTAAACCCTAAACCCTAAACCCTAAACCCTAAACCCTAAACCCTAAACCCCAAACCCCAAACACCAAACACCCCTAAACACTAAACCCTAAACCCTGAAACAGCTGCCAGCCCAGATGCCAAGCGCACTGGGCCGATGCTCCGCACCGCTCAGCCGGAGAGAGTCCTGGGGTCGCTTTCATTGTGGGCCCATGGAAGGGATTAGGGTTTGGGGTTTGGGGTTTAGGGTTTAGGGTTTAGGGTTTAGGGTTTAGAGGTTTGGGGTTGAGGATTGGGGGTTTTGGCTGTTTGGTGTCAAGAATCTCATGCGAGGGGACCATGGGGCGACAGGGCTGTGGAGAGTTCTGAGATTTTTCTGGACGGCTTTCTGGGGTTCCGGCATGCAGGGGTTTAGCAGTTAGGGGGTTTAGGGTTTAGGGTTTAGGGTTTAGGGTTTAGGGTTTAGGGTTTAGGGGGAGGATTCAGGGGTTCCGGGCAGCTTTAGGTTTGGGGGGTCACATGCATGCTATGTTTCGGGTAACATAGATGAGAGAACTGATCCCAGGAGAATTATGTCTGGAATTTGGAATGCTACAAGGATCCACTCTTGCGCTCGTTCCAGGGCCGTGTACGTGAAAGAACGCCCTTAAACCCTCAACCCTCAATCCCTAAACCCGAAACTCCAAACCCTAAAACCTAAACCCTAAACCGTTAATATAAGGGGGAACATCCCAAGTTTAGGGTGTAGCATGTCTCCTGAGGGATGTAGGCAAGTTTACAGGGGGTGTCCGTCACCCTAAAAAAACCTACACCGATCTCGGGGTGGAGGCTGCAGGCCCTAAACCCTGAACCCTAAATCCCAAACCCTAAACCCTAATCCGACGCCGATCCACACCGCCACTTGTCGGCGGCGTGCAGTGGCTCAGCTTCCCTGGGCTCTTGGCGCCATCGGTCATCATCTCGTGCATGACCTGTTTCACTGGTTGGATCGCGATTCTTCTTCACGGGCAGGTGAAACCTGCAATCCGTTCAGCTCTGAAGCGTCGGTGACCTCTGCGCTGGTAGTGCCCTCTGCCTCCATTTCCTGCACCTGCAGTTGCAGGGACAGGAGGTCGTCCAACCCCGTGCAGTTGTCGTCCCCGAAGTCAGGATCTAAACCCTAAACCCTAAACCCTAAACCCTAAACCCTCAACCCTAAACCCTAAACCCTAAAGTGCAGGGTCTGGGTTGGTTCCCAAATTTTCTAACCCAAAAGTGCGTCCTCGGCCCCTGGAGCCGGCGGGGCAGTGCTGGGCTCGTCGGCGTCGCCCTGAATCATGCTAGGGTTTATGGTTTATGGTTTTGGGTTTAGGGTTTAGGGAGTTTAGGGTTTAGGGAGTTTAGGGTTTAGGGTTTAGGGTTTAGGGTTTGGGGTTTAGGGTTTAGGGTTTAGGGATTGAGGTTTAGGCTGAGGGCTTGGGGTTTGGGGGTTGGGGTTTAGGGTTTAGGGCTTCGTGGGTTTGGGCGTTTAGGTTGTCTGCTTGACGGTTCATAGGGTTTGGGGTAGGGCTTACAGCGCCTCTGGGGGCGGGTTTAGGGTTTACAGCGCCTCTGGGAGCGGGTTTAGGGTTTAGGGTTTAGGGTTTAGGATTTAGGGTTTATGGTTTAGGGTTTAGGGCTTAGGGTTTAGGGTTTAGGGTTTTGGGTAGTTGAAGGTCTCTGCCATTCAGGGCTCACAAGACCAAGAGGTTGCTAGGTCGGCTTGGCTCGGAGGAGAACTGTCGTGAGGCCGCAGGTCACACAGGGAGACTCTCAATCCTCATGTCTGTCTATGCCAGGAACACAGACCAACACACGCCCTAAACCCGAAACCCTAAACCCGAAACCCTGCACCGAACCCTAAACCCTGAACTTCTGAAACCGAAGCCCTAAGCCCTGAAGCCCAAACCTCGACTACCCTGGCCTGGCAGCCACTGGACAGATAAGAGCTGTTCGAGATTCGTCTTTCGCCCATGATGGTGCCTCGGTTTTTAGGGTTTAGGGTTTAGGGATTATTGGCCCGGCCTCAAAAGCCTGCCTCTTTTCTCGACATGTCTCGGACACGCTTGAAGAGCCATAAGGTCACACTGGACAGAGGTGCTATGCTGAACATTGGCGCTTTGCGTGGGGTTGGGCTCTAGAACCTAGACTTCGGTTTAGGGCTTGGGGGTCGACGAACCGCCTCCCCCTTTAGGGTTTGAGGGTGGCCCACCCCCCCAAAATAGAGGAACCCGGGGTTGGAATGACCTTATTCTTGGTGGGGGCCAGGGTTCACGCATGCTGTCGAAGATCTCCCCCCTACTCCGCCCCACGATTATCACACGGTGGACATACTTGTGATTCTTTGCGGGATCAGGAACCCTAAACCCTAAACCCTAGACCCTAAACCCTAGACCCTAAACCCTCTAAACCAAAGGCTCGGCCAAGTTTCTGATATCCAGCTCCTCGTGGACGGCCGGGTCGTCGTAAGCGATGCCGAAGAAGGCGGCGACGTTCTGAATACCTGGGCTTCTGGGCTTAGGGTTTGGGTGAGGGCTTAGGCTTGTGCTGTCTTGATCCGCCTCTATTCGAGTAGAGGCTCCTCCAACCTGACCAAAATTAGGGGTGTACCTTATTACAAGGGAATCCTACTATTTGGGGGGTCTATATTACCCACATGGCTCCATAAACCCTAAACCCTCAACCCTAAACCATGACCCATGGATGCGTGCCATGCGCGCAAGGCACGCGCGCCAGAGTTTTTGCACAAGACGTCTAGAACCCACGAAGCACCAGCCCCGCAAAAAAACACAACACATAATTCCTTGTAAGGGGAATATAAGGATTATCTTCTGATTGTGTTTTTTCGAGGGCTCTTGAGGAAATTACAGAAGCTGCCTTTAGCACCTTGAGCACCGAGCATCCTCCACATGCCGCCGGTTTAGGGTTTAGGGTTTAGGGTTTAGGGTTTAGGGTTTAGGGTTTAGGGTTTAGGGTTTAGGGTTTAGGGTTTAGGGTTTTTAGGGTTTAGGGTTTAGGCGCCTCCCCCACGCGAGATCCACAACTTTGGACCCCATGGCATCGCAAAAAGCCGAGGCAGCCCAAAGTGCGAGACAAGCCCTAAACCCTAAACCCTAAACCCTAAACCCTTAAACCCTTAAACCCTTAAACCCTTAAACCCTAAACCCTAAACCCTAAACCCTAAACCCTAAACCCTAAACCAACCCTGAACCCTAAACCCTGAACCCTAGGCCGCCCCCCTACGTTGGGCGGCGCTCAAGCCCTCGACCTCGATTGCGCAAGCCGACCCAGGTCGCTCGCCCGCCTCCCACAGCATGAGGGTCATTAGCGCCCCTCGTCCGTGGTTGGTTTTTTTGTTTTTTTTTTGGGGGGGGGGGGGGTTTTTTCTGAGCCCCTGGCCCCCCCTGACCCGCCCTCTGGCCGCTTGACCTACTGCTTTTCTTTTGTCCTGAATGAATTCTTTAAGAAGCTGTTGCCTGAGTTTAGGCCTCAACCCTAAAAAGAATAGGTTTGGGTGGCTTTGCCGCCTCGGACGGCGTGAGGTGGGAGAAAAGTGTCGAGCCTGTTCCGAAACCTAACCTTCTCAGCATCTACGCCCTATCACAGCAAACCCTAAACCCTAAACCCTAAACCCTACTATAGGCTACACTAATTAGAAGGGTTTTGGGGGGAGATTGTAGAGGTTTAGGGAGCTCATGCATGCCCCCCCCCCCCCCCCCCCCAAAGAAGCCCCTTCTTGGCCGCCCCCCCCCCCCCCCGCCCCAAAACTGGGGCGCCCTGCAAAAACTTATATCTTTATGGCTTTAAAAGGATTAGGCAGGGGACTCAGGGTAGTCAAAATGAAAAAAGAAAAAAAGAAGGTCAAACCTACCCCTGAAAAGGAGGAGACTCGAAGCAAAAAGGGGGCTCCCCTACATGCCTAAGTAGCCCCTAAATAACCCCTAAGAACACCTGTAAGGTCCCCCTAAAAAAACCTTAAACCCTAAACCCTAAACCCGAAGTAAACAGGCGCTACCCTGAGGTCCACGCAGAAGCAGAGCCGTAGGATGCTCCGAGGAATCAGTGCGGAGGCCGCGGAGCAGAAGAAGATCAGCCGTGACGGCTCCTTCGACGTTTGGGGGTTTAAGGTCTGGGGTTAGGGTTTAGGGTTAGGGTTTAGGGTTTGAAGAAGATGAGCCGTGACGGCTCCTTCGACGTTTGTGGGGGAGGTCTGCTAAGTTCTCAGACATTTTTCTTACTTCTCCAATAACCATGGGGAAAAAGCTTAAACTTTTATCGTTCCTACTACAGAAGGAAACAGGGTTAAAGTTTAAAGCTCTAGCATTGGCTGAGTAAGTTTTGTTGAGGGATTGTTGGCTTTGGGGGGGCTGAGGGTTCAGGGTTTGGGTTCTCAAGGATTTTAGGTTCCGGTTAAGAGCAGGGTGATTCTTGGGCGCTCGAGTTTTGGGAAGACTTCGGCACATCGAAAACTACCAACACCCGAAACCCAGCCTATTGTATGAATTGATCCTCCACCGAAGATTCCGAAATCCGAAAGGACCCCTGACAAGCTCCTTGCAAGGGCCTTCCAACCCTAAACCCTGAACCCTAAACCCTACACACTTTTGCGTCCTTACTATGTTCTTGGAAACAACATCCCTAAACCCTAAACCCTAAACCCTAAACCCTGAACCCTAAACCCTAAACCCTAAACCCTATGGCAACCTTTCCCACCGTCCTCTTCTGTCTCCGCCTTGTGGCCTGGGATGCAGCGGGAGGGTGAACGCCCATGTCAAAGCACTGAAAACTCCTAAGCCCTAAACCCGAAAACCAAACCCTAAACCCTAAACCCTAAATCCTTAAGCCCCAAATCCCAAACCCTAAACCCCAAACCCTAATCCTCAAACCCTAACCACTTTTCGGGTTCCTCGTCGGAATGTGGGTTTAGTGTTTAGGGGTTTTGGGTTCAAGGGCTTAGAAGTTTAGGTGTTTGGTGGTGTCGGGCTTCGGGGTTAGGGGCGTTGCAGCTCCAATCGCGGTCTCTGCCGGCTAGGGGGGACTTCTGTTCCCCGAAAAAATTGAACCGTGGTGCTTGAAAGGAGCACCCTAAACACTAAACAGCCTTCACTGGCATCTTTTGCAGGCCGAGTGTCCCAGTTGCATGCCCTGCCATAGCCTGGAAAGGTACACTCACCCACACCCATTTGAAACTTAGGGTTTAGGGTTTAGGGTTTAGGGTTTAGTCTCTTGTTTGGCCCTATCAGGTATTTCGGGGGTCTGCAGGGACTTGAGGCCTAGTTCCAACGAAAAGCTGCAAGGAAAAATTGAGAACTTGCAATGTCCTATAAAACAAAAGGAAAGGCCTTAATTGAGGCCCTAGGGGGCGGGGTATTCATTGAACATCAATTTGCAGATCACAGCTGAGGGTTTAGGGTTTAGGGTTTAGGGTTTAGGGTTTAGGGTTTAGGGTTTAGGGTTTAGGGTTTAGGGTTTAGGGCTGCAAAATGGGTATAGGATGCCTTATAGTGTTTGGCGATGCGCAGCAAATGCTTCTTGCTTCCCTGCGCAGGCTGAAGCCCCAAGCCTCTAGTTTTCTTGTGAGTGGATGGAAAGCAGCAGTGGAACACCAGGATCTCAGAGGTTACTTGAGTTTACGATAATCAGGGACCCCTATAACCGAGCCCCCAAATAGTAGGATTCCCCTTATAGCAAGGACCCAAGAAGGTAGCCTAAACCCTAAACCCTAAACCCCAAACCCTAAACCCTAAGCCTTAATTTCGGAAACCCCCCAACTTTGAGGTCTCCTGAGGCACCGGCAGCGCGGTGGCTGCAGAGATTCCCTGCCCGGTGACCGACGCCTGCACTTGGGCACCTCGCCTGCGTGGAGGCTTTCCGGCTTCGAGGATCTAGGGTTCGGGGTTTAGGGTTTAGGGTTTAGGGTTTAGGGTTTAGGGTTCTGGGGGGGGGGGGGGGGGGGAAGTTGTTCAGCAGGGTTTAGGGTCAGCCGAGCGAAGTGCTTAAACCCTAAACCCTAATTAGATTGGTTGTACGTATATCTGATTCACACTTGCCAGAGCAGACTGTCGAAGTCTCAGCATTTGCTCTATCGCCAGAAGCATTGGGCGCTTTTTGGGGGCGTTTAGGGGTTCAAGGGATTTTAGATTTTAGCAACCCACAAATCCTGCTTGCGGATTCGGACTCTCGGTTGGTTGTCTGTGGCAAAAGGCTGCATTTCTGAGGCTCCGACAGGTGTGGCCAAGAACAGCAAGGTTTGGGGGTTTGAGTGCTTAGGGGCTTGAGGGGTTTTGGGTTTGAAGCTCAAGGAGCACAGCCTTTCGTAGGAACCGGAAACCTCTAAATCCCAAGCCCGAAACCCCCAAATCCCAAAAACACCTTCAGCCCCGCGCCCAAAGCTGCCATGAATTCTTGGCTTAGGTTTAGGGTTTAGGGTTTAGGGTTTAGGGTTTAGGGTTTAGGGTTTAGGGTTTAGGGTTTAGGGTTTAGGGTTTAGGGTTTAGGGTTTAGGGTTTAGGGTTTAGGGTTTAGGGTTTAGGGTTTACGCTTTAGGGTTTAGGGTTTAGGGTTTAGGGTTGCGTGTCCAGGAGTGCTAGGGCTGGGCCTTGGGTTTCAGGGCCTGGGGCTGCGTTACCCCGCAGCAACTTTTTTTGCAAGCCCACCTAAACCCAAGCTGCCTTTAACAACCCTACAACCCCAAACCCTAAGCCCCAAACCCTAAACCCTAGACCCCAAATCCTAAACCCTAGACCCCAAACCCTAAACCCTAACCCCCTAAACCTTTCCACTCTTTTACGCGCTGAAACCCTAAACCCTAAAGTTGAACCCTAACCCCTTGCCCGCACCTGCCGACTTTCTGTCTCTGGGCCGTGCCGTCGAGCATGGCGATCAAAGCACCCTCCAGGGTGCGAAAGTCCTCACCCACCCACAGGTTTAGGGTGTAGGGTTTAGGGTTTAGGGTTGAGGGTTGAGGGTTTAGGGTTTAGGGTTGTTGGGGGAACCTCAGCGCTCATCCCTGTAGGCCCTAAACCCTAAATCATAAGGCCTCTCGAAGCCATACAATCCCTTCTGACCTCTGTCAGCCCTAAACTACATCAGCGGCAACAAGAGAGACGACGAATGGCAACCGACGTACCACACACACACCCCTCCCTCCCTCCCCCTCTGAACCCCAGTGAGCTTGAGGTCTTGGGGCGGAAAGGGGGGGGGGGTCTAAGAGTGGAAAGGTTTAGGGTTTAGGGCTTAGGGTTTAAGGTTTAGGGTTTAAGGTTTAGGGTTCAGGGTTTAAGGTTGCCCCTCTACCTGGCATTGGGGCGCCTATGTCTTGAACTCTACAACTTGTAGCTTTTCCTTTAGTCGGGTGTGCTGTCCCTTGGGGGAGGGGGTGATCTTCAGGTTAACTCAAGCCCAAACTCAAGATTAAACCAAGATTGGGCCTGTTGAAGTTTTGCCTTGCAGCTGACAAGGATTCCAGCTGCCAGTGCTCACAGAATCAGCTTCATTCCTCATGAAAGAATTTTTGCCCGTTGTAAGCTGCCACGAACTTCTCCCAAATTTCCGATTCCTCCCGACTCTCCCAGACCTGGCCCCCCAAACCCTAAACCCTAAACCCTAAACCCTAAACCCTAAACCCTAAACCCTAAGCCCTAAGCCCTAAGCCCTAAGCCCTAAGCCCTAAGCCCTAAGCCCTAAGCCCTAAGCCCTAAGCCCTAAGCCCTAAGCCCTAAGCCCTAAGCCCTAAGCCCTAAGCCCCAAGCCCCAAGCCCAAACCCTTCCAGGATTGAAAGTTGGGGTCAAATCGGGTCAAGGGGCACAGGTCAGGTTGTGGGGCTGCCTCCCCAAACCCCCATAGCCCGCATCCTGTGGGTTCAGGGTTTAGGGTTTAGGGTTTAGGGTTTAGGGTTTAGGGTTTAGGGTTTAGGGTTTAGGGTTTAGACTGGGGCCCTTCCCTCCTTCACGTCCGCCAGGTCGAGCAGATACCAGGTCTTTTGGGCCGCGAGCAGCGTGCCGAGCTGCGCAAAGCCTCCAGACACCTCGTCCTCGCGGCCGGGGGCGAAGAAAAAGCCCTGAACCCATATGACGCTAAACCCTAAAACGCCCAAACCGAAAAACCTTAAACACCAAGAAAGGGACAAAAAAAGGCAAAAACCTAAGGCCCTGAAGGTATAAGGGGACCTCTGGAACTTTAGGGAAGCTTAGGGAGCTGTAGGGTTCAGGGTTTGAAGATTCTTCGGCAAATCCGTGGACCTCTGCTGGGTTTAGAGTTTGGGGTTTAGGGTTCAGGGTTTTAAGGTTTAGGGTTTGAGGTTTAGGGTTTTAGGTTTAGGGTTTAAGGGTTAAGGCTTAGGGTTTAAGTTTGAGAGTTTAGGGTTTTAGGGTTTGGGGGGAGGTCCCTGCCTGGATGGTGATAGACATCTTTGCCGCCAAGTCGATGAGGATTGGCACCTTTTGGGGCTAATGCTCTTGCAGGCGCTCTGCGGGGATTTATTTCATGATTTTTTAATGTTGCAATGTCGCTTTGGTTGCATGCATGAGGGTCAGTTTTCAGACTCAGGCAAGCTGATACACCTGCAGATGTGAGCCCCGGTAATGGGCACACCTGTGCCCAAACAAACCCCCAGGGAGGCCAAATGCTGAGAGCAAACAAACAAAGCCATCAGCAACGCTTTGCTCTGCCAAAACTTTTGCATAGACCAGAAAAGTCACAGCAGATAAGGCAGATTCGTCATGCCCGCAATTTGCCATTGACGGGCCAAAATTTCGGGCTGCAGAGTGCGGGGATTTCTTGTGGTGAGGCTGTTAGCGCAGCTCAGAACATTGCGGGGATTTTGACGGGGATTTTGCGGGGATTTTTGTGAAAACAACAAACGCCTTTAAGAAAAATCCGCTGAAAATCCGCGGCAAAATCCGCTGGCATTTACAACCGCCTGAGACGCAATCTCCATCCGAGCCACATTGAACAGAAATCAGCCACCACAAAAGCTTCACCAGCAAATGATGCGGGAAGCCACCCATTCGTCACACAAGCCCGATCTGACGATACAGCTAGCTTGTCAAGCCAGCCGCTACAAATTCTTCGTTCATGATGAGTAGTTAACGCTACAAGCTGCTTCTCTCTTGAGCGTAATCCTGTGAAGCCTCAGCCTGCCATGCGCGGACTCTTTCGCGACTCTGGCGTGTTTGCATGCTGGCAGGGTGTTCGGGGCAGCTCTTCTGATCAATGACGATGAAATTTCAAAGCAGAAATCCGCAAGAAATCCGCTCTGCAAGTTTTTAGCAACAACACCTTGGGAAAACAAAGCGCAACGTGTTCACGTGCACAACCTCTGCCTTGAAACCCTAAACCCTAAACCCTAAACCCCAAACCCGACACCCTAAACCCGAAACCCTAAACCCCAAACCCCAAACCCTAAGCCCAATCATGTGTTGGAGCTCTGACGCCAATATGAACCCCTTCCCCCGGGGTGGATCTAGATGGCGTGCCCTTATCTGGTCTCTATCGGGAAGTACCCAAAGGGTCCGAAACACATTCGGACCCCCCATCCTTGGCCCAGGCACAGCGTTGTGAGTTACCAGCAGCGGGGCTCGTGCAGGTAGCCTGGGGAACGAAGCGGGGGACCCAAGATAGCCTCAAACGAACCGAGGGCTCCCTCGCCCCAAAAAGCCCTCTCAACTCAGCCCTCCTTAAGACATCAGACATCTCAACACCCGGTCTTCTTGTGCCCCATGCCTCTCTGGTTGACCACCTAGTCCCAACAGTCATCGAAATTGTTGTTGAGAAGGTTTCGGGTAGGGCTGAAGCTATACCCCAAACCCCCTAAACCACCTAAACCACAGAAACCCTCAACCCCAAGTCAACCCTTAACTAACCCTAAACCCCCTAAACCCTCAACCTCCAAACCCTAAACTAGGAAAGAAAATCGAGGCCACCATAGTGAACCTGAAAGGGCTTTTCCGAGGGCCCCTAATTTTAGACCCTATCCCTAAGCCCTAAACCCTAAGCCCGAAACCTTAAACCCCAAACCCTAAACCCCAAACCCTAAACCCCAAACCCTAAACTACTCTATCATAGGGTATTCAAACCCTAATTCAAAAGTCGGCAATGGTGAAGTGCGGCTTCAAAAGTCGGCAACGGTGAATTTCCAGGCCTCAAAAGTCGGCAACGGTGAATTTCCAGGCCTCAAAAGTCGGCAACGGTGAATTTCCAGGCCTCAAAAGTCGGCAACGGTGAATTTCCAGGCCCAGGCCTCAAAAGTCGGCAACGGTGAATTTCCTGGCCTCAACAGTCGGCAACGGTGAATTTCGGCCTCAAAAGCCAGCAACGGTGAATTTCGGCCTCAAAAGTCGGCAACGGTGAATTACGGCCTCAAAAGTCGGCAACGGTGAATTTCGGTCGCAAAAGTCGGCAACTGTGAATTTCGGACTCCAACCCCCCCACCCCCCCACCCCCCCCACCCCCCCCCAACTCCCCCCCACGCCCCAAAAGGAAAGTTTGCCTCCAAAAACACGCCAAATGAGGGGGAGACCCCAGGATCGGCCCGGGTCTCTATTTATATGCGATTTTTAGTACTGAAATCGACGGTTCTTGGTGGCCTCTCATTTTCTGGATTTTTGACGAAAACCGAGCCTTCACCGATAGGGGCTTCTAAACCGTAGGGTTTAGGGCCCTAAGAGCATAAAGGGCCTATTGTGGGCCTTAGATTAGAATTCGGGTTTTGGGTCCGTTAAAAACTAACTACTGGGAATGTATTGAGTGAACTTTGTATTTTCTCATTTCTTGGGTGGGTGGGTTGTTGAGATGCTGAACCCTAAACCTCAAACCTTAAACCCCAAACCCCAAACCCGAAACCCTGAACCCTAAACCCCGAAGCTATCGGTAAGATGCAGGCAAGGCAGCTTAGCCAAGCGATCTGCCGGGCTCTGTGGCGCGGGGCCGTGTGGGAGGGCATCCTTCGGCACGGCAAATGTTCCCTAGGGTTTAGGGTTTAGGGCTTAGGGCTTAGGGCTTAGGGCTTAGGGTTTAGGGTTTAGGGTCTTTTCTTATATCATCATAGGATCCTTGTGGCATACCCCTGAAATCGTATGAGAATCTAACCTCTGCTATATGTTAAAATAGTCTTCCCGACCTAAACGATATGAGAAACTGCCAACGAGAGCTTGAGTGGCCAGTCTAGGGTTTAGGGTTTGGGGATTAGGGTTTCGCCGAAGCAGTCTTTCGGAAAGTTCTTCGTCTTGCTGAGGACTTTAGGGGGTTTGGGTCGTCGGTACACCCTGAGTTTCTGGGTCCCGAGGCCCTTGGCCCCTAAACCGGGTTTAGGGTTGAGGGTTTAGGGCTTAGGGTGTAGGAGCCCGCAACACTCCATGTAAACGTCTTCAAGGCTCCTACCAGGTACGGCCCTTTACACCCTCTGAGCAATCTTGCAAAAGTCATCTTAAACTCCAATAGGGGGAAACAAAAGAAGACCTCCACGGCCTAAAGCCCCGCCCCTAAAACCCCTAAAGCCCCTAAAGCTCCTAAACCTCTCAAGCTCAGGGGCCGCTAAGAAGCACCTAGCTGCCCCAAAGCCCCTACCAGGTGGGCCTCTGAACCCTCCCGGCCCTGAAAAAAATCAACCCTCAAACTCCTGAAGCCCTAAAGCCCTAAACCCATGAAGAAAACATTAGCCCTCTAAGACAACCCCGATATCCGTCTCAAAACCCAAACTCCTAACACATACAACCCTAAATCCCTACCAAAACCCCAGCCAACCTGAATGCAGCGCCCCAGCCTCCCACAACAACGCGCTGCCAGCCTAACAGCCCAGCCTAACAGCCCTTGAAACCCCCTAAACCCTAAACCCTAAACCCTAAACCCTAAACCCTGAACCCTAAACCCTAAACCCTAAACCCTAAACTCCCAGGGTTCAAAGGAGGCCTCCACGGATCCCCAGAGGCTCTGGAGCCGACGAATCATCGGGGCACCTCGGGAGCTTCTTAGGGTTTAGGGTTTAGGGCTAGGGTTTAGGGTTTAGGGTTTAGGGTTTAGGGTTTAGGGCTTAGGGCTTAGGGTTTAGGGTTTTTTACAGGGTTTAGGATTTAGGGTTTAGGGTTTAGGGCTAGGGTTTAGGGTCAGGGCTAGGGTTTAGGGTTCCGGGTTTGGGGCTTAGGGGTTTGGGGGTTTAGGGGTTTAGGGGTTTAGGGGTTTAGGGGTTTAGGGGTTTTGGGGTTTTGGGGTTTTGGGGTTTTGGGGTTTTGGGGGTTTAGGGGGTTTAGGGGTTTAGGGGGTTAGGGTTTGGAGCCTAATAAGGGATTAGAGGCCTAGGGGTTGCAGTGCTCAGGGGACTTTAGAGGTGTGTTGGGTTCAGGGTTTAGGGATTAGGGCTTCTGTCGCCTGTCGAATCTACCGGACGCTCGCCTCCGCGGGCCTCGACATTTGCGTGCGCGGCCCTAAACCCTCAACCCTAAACCCTAATCTCCCTTGAGTAGGCTTGACCTAAGCTTTTGGGCGCCGGAGTTTCGGGCCCCGGCTTCGGGATTCGGGTCTAGAGTTCGGAGTTTAGGAGTTTAGGGTTTAGGGTTTTGGAGTTTAGGGTTTAGGGTTTGACTGGTCTGCTTGCACCCGTGCGGCTTTGAATGCGTGCGGCTGGGACATTCTCCAGAACGTCTTTTGCGAAGTCATGGTCTGCCTGCTGTGATAGGAACTCAACGTCTGCTGCTGTTTAGGGTTTAGGGTTTAGGGTTTAGGGTTTAGGGTTTAGGGTTTAGGGTTTAGGGTTTAGGGTTTCGGGTTTCAGGTTTAGGGTTTCTTGAAGTCTCCTTTGCAGGAGACGCCGCTGCGCGGCAACCATCCGAACTTTGTGTCCTTAACCCTAAACCCTGAATCCTGAACCCTAAACCCTTTATCCGAAACCCTAAACCCCTTTGCAGATTCCTCGCATGTCAGCCTCACCGTCTTTCTTGTCTTCCTCCTCTGCTTCCTGCTGGGGCGGACATCGGGTGACTTCGGCTTCGGGTTTAGGGTGTTAGGGTTTTAGGGTAAATCATCTTTAGGGCTTTAGGTGTTAGGGTTTAGGGCTTCGGGCAACTGTAACCCTCAAACCCCGACAGTTTTATGAAGGGAACTGGTCTGGGATGCACAAGAAGAAACCACACTGTGGCCTAGAACCAAGGAAGGAGGACAAGGGTAGCTTGGGAAGATTTTCAAACAACCACCGGCACTTCTAGGGCTTAGGCTTTAGGGTACTGCGAGTCTACGAATAAGCTGGTTCTTGAGTTTGTAAAGTGCCCCGAACCTGGAAATGTCCTGACAGTGTTTTGCGGGTGTAAGGTCTAGGGTTTAGGGCCTAACCCCTCCCGAAATCCTACGAACCTGACCTGAGAAAATGACGAATGCCCTAAACCCTAAACCCTAAACCCTAGACCCAAAGGGTTTTAGGGCAACAAAGCCCTCCGCAACCCCGCAAGTCCGAAATCCAAAGGCTCCTCCAGAAAAACCGTGTCCCCCGAGGAACCCCTACCCCCCCTAAACCCTACAGTTTAAGGTTTAGGGTTTAGGGTTACACCCTAAGCCCTAAGCCCTTTTTAGAGGCTGGGGTTTCGAGTTTTGGGGACAAGAGAATGGCATGTTTCTGCAAAACTGCCGCACGTCTCGGTAGACTAGATATCGGATGAACTTGTTCGGCATCTCCAGCTCGCGCAGGAGCTCGTTGGCTTCGTATTCGGTTGTCACATGCAGGAGCCTTTCCCCGACGGTATGATATGTGCCGCTGTTTGCCAGCTTGGTGAACCTTTTGGCGCATTCCACAGGCACTAGCAGAAAGGAGAACGAAGGCCCTTAACGCTGCTGATCCCCACCACCCCCGCCCCCCCCCACCCACGCCACGCCCACACCCTCCACTAGGGTTTGGGGTTTAGAGTTTAGGGTAGTACCCCCCCCAAAACTCTAAACCCTGAGTTAGGGTTTGAGGTTCACAGGGGTTAAAGTCTAAACCCTCACTCAACCCCCAGAGTCCTAAAGCCTAAACCCAAATTCCACCGTCCTCCGGTCCATCGTTGGGACCGCCACTCTCCTCGTCTTCCTCTTCGGTCTCGGAGGTCTCGTCGCTGCTGTCGTAATCCTAGGGAATGAGGGAATTAGGTATCCTGTTCGGTATCCGATATGATTCCTTTAAAGGGGTAATAGAGGGAGGTACCATTCCTTACTAAGAACCGGAAACCCTCTTCTGGCTCGGGGCCAAACACACCCCTGCTTCCCAGCAGGCGCTACACCGCAGGGGCGTCGTAGAAGAACTCTTTCCTTGGACAAGAACATCCTTCTGGAGTGAAGTTTCCGCACGGAAGCTTACCGAGTAGATCTTTTTGGGGTCCACCGCGCGTTGATCCTTCTGTAAGTGGGTTTCAAGCCTTCAACCCTGAAAACTCTAAACCCGGAACCCTGAACCCTAAACCCTAAACCCTAAACCCTAGGGTTCAGGGTCCCAAGCCCTGAGAGAAGAGCCCTTGGCTCACAGAGCTGGGCTTCTAGGCTTCCCACAAAGTATATGGGAGAACACAAGGGCGCCCTTTGTTGGTTTAGAGGTTTGGAAGGGATCCAACACTTTCTCTTACTTCTCCAAGAACCAAGGGGAAAAAAGGTTAAACTTTAATATTCCTACTAAATAAGGAAACACAAAAAGTTTAAAGTTCAACTAAAGGCGAAGTAAGTTCCAAAAAAGGAAACATGCGTGGAAGAAGGGTAGTCTCCTCGGCTGCGAAGCCCTTCCAGGGTTGGGGGTCGAAGGTTTCTCTCCCTCCTCCTACGAGTAGTAGGGTTTTAGGGTTTAGGGTTTAGGGTTTAGGGTAGAAGTTCTGCTTCGAGTGCACAACTTCTTGGTAGGAAGGTGTGTTCACATAAGAGTGGGAGTATATTACGTCAGGTGTTAGCGGCGGCGGGGGGCTTTGCGGCGGGGTATTCGGTGGGAGGAATTTCCGTTGTGGCTGGCCTAAACCCTAAACCCTAAACCCTGAACCCTAAACCCTAAGCCCTAAGCCCTAAGCCCTAAGCCCTAAGCCCTAAGCCCTAAGCCCTAAGCCCTAAGCCCTAAGCCCTAAACCCTGACCCTAAACCTTAAACCCTAAAACCTAAACCCTAAACCCCAAACCCCAAACCCTAAACCCTAAACCGTGGTGCATGAGGATGGCCTCATCCTCATCAGAGTCATCCGAATCATCTGTGCCTGGTCAGGCAGCCGGGAGCCGTGCCCTGAGAACGTGAAGACCCCCCCCCCCTAAACCCTAAACCCTAAACCCTAAATCCTACACCCGAAAAAAAATAGACCCTAAACCGTAAACTTGGGATGTTCCCCCCTATACTAACAGTCCTTAATTGGGATTATAGTACCCCCCCCCCCTCCCACACCTATTAGACTCCCTACTAAGGACATCCCTACCCAAAACCCTAAACTGTAAGCCCATATCATGGCAACTTCAAGTAAGTTCCTGTACTAGAAGTCCTGCGTCAGGAACCTACAGTGGCAAACGCCCTTTTCGGGAATACTCCTTGTTTCTTGGGTTCTTGGAGCAGAAGCGTAGGGCACAACGACTCGACAACGACCCTTGCAGATAAGGATCCTCCAGTTGCACCCAAGAGCCCGAAAGCAGGAGCCTTAACCGCTAAGCTACCATGCAGAGGTCAGCTGGGGCACGTAGTTACAGCATCTTATGGTGTACGGCCCCAAGCCCAAACTCAATCAACTTGAATGGTTTGGGGGGGTTCTCTGATTTTTCTCCAGCCTCACCATCAAACCCTAACCCCGCATGTGGGGAATGAGCTCCACTCAAGCCCCCCAGCGACCCCCAAATCCTGCTTGGAATCGGGGCCTAAACCCTCAACCCTCAACCCTCAACCCTAAACCCTAAACCCTAAACCCTAAACCCTAACCCCTGGACCCCTGAACCCCTAAACCCCGAAACCCCGCCTTCGGACAAGTTTGCTGCCGGATCTGCGGCTCTCTCCTGCTTCAT